CACATTAAAGGAACAACACATCTAACCGAACATACAATAAAACTTAAACATAATACACCGATCAAACAAAGATACAGGCCCCGAAACCCGGCAATGCAGAAGATCATAAACGATGAGATAGATAAGATGCTAGAAGAGAACGTGATAGAAAAATCTAATAGCCCGTACAGTTCCCCCATCGTTCTAGTAAAAAAGAAGGATAACAACGGATACAGATTTTGCATCGATTTTAGGAAAATCAACGACATCTCAGAAAAAGATGCCTACCCATTACCGTACATCAATCATATCCTAGAAAAGTTAAAATCTGCAAAATATTTTACCACGTTGGATCTAAAAAATGGATATTGGCAAGTACCACTTTCCGAAGCAAGCAAACCCTTAACCGCTTTCATAGCACCAGGAAAAGGACTATTCCAGTTCAAAGTACTTCCATTCGGATTACACGCCGCCTCCGCTACTTTTCAACGATTACTAGATACAATAATCGGCCCAGAAATGGAACCACATGCATTCGCCTATTTAGACGACATAATAGTACTGGGGAAAACGTTCGAGGAACATATGGAAAACTTAAAAGAAGTACTTCACAGACTACAGCAGGCCAAACTACGAATTAATATAGACAAATGTAAATTCTGCAAAGAAGAGATAAATTATTTAGGCCATGTAGTAAACAAAACGGGAATAAAAGTGGACGAAAACAAGACAAAAGCTATAGTCGAATATCCCGCGCCAAAAAACGTTAAACAACTACGCCGATTTTTGGGCATCATCTCATGGTATAGGAGATTTATAAAAGATTTTTCACGAACTACAGCTCCTTTAACAAAGCTACTAAAGAAAAAACAACATTGGACTTGGGACAGAGACCAAGAGGAAGCATTCAACAAAATAAAATTACTACTGACACAAGCTCCAATACTGATCTGCCCGGACTTCCAGAAAAGATTTTTTTTACAATCGGACGCTTCGAACCACGGTTTAGGAGTAGCTTTAGTACAAACAAACGACGAAGGACAGGAACAAGTCATCGCTTACGCAAGTCGAAACCTAACAAAAGCCGAAAAAAATTACAGCGTGACAGAAAAAGAACTACTAGCGATCATCTTCGGTGTAGAAAAGATGAAACCCTACATCGAAGGATACCCATTTTCAATTATCACAGATCATCAAAGTCTACGATACTTACAAACAATGGAAAACCCTACAGGTAGAATAGCTAGATGGGCAATGCTGCTGCAACAATTTGACTTCGATGTCATTTACAGAAAGGGCTCCCAGAACGTCCTGGCCGACGCGCTCTCTAGAGAACCAGTAGATCTGGTTTGCATAATAAACGTAGAAGATGTAGAACCCGACGAATGGTACAATAAAGCTTTAAATAAAATCCAGACAAATCCGCAACTATTTCCAGACTACTCTATCAAAGATGGACTTCTCTATCGACACTTCTGGGACAAATACGATTTAAAAGAGACAGAGGTATCCAACCCCTGGAAACTATGCATCCCAAACCACAAGAGACAACAACTCCTGGCAGAAAACCACGAGCAACCGACCGCAGGACATCTAGGAATAGCTAAAACAATAACCCGCCTAGCTAGAAAATACTACTGGCCAGGGATGTTTAAAGACGCCGCAAAGTTCGTCAGGAACTGCAAGAACTGTCAGCAATTTAAGCCGCAACAAAGCTTAACTCCAGGCCGCATGCAATCTACACAAATTCCCCCACATCCATGGCACACCGTTTCAACCGACATCATAGGACCCCTTCCAACATCCAGCAAAGGAAACAAATATATAATGACATTCCAGGACACCTTTTCAAAATGGGTCGAAGCCATACCGATCAGAACAGCAACGGCAAAATCAGTCTGTCAGAACTTAAAAGATAAAATCATTATGAGATTCGGATCACCCAAAGAGCTAATATCAGACAACGCAAGAACATACGATAACAGGGAAGTACGAAAGTTGCTAGACGAATTCCAGATTTCTAAAAGAAACATTCCGCCATATTCACCCCAGAATAATCCAGTAGAAAGAACAAACAGAGTAATCAAAACAATGATAGCTCAGTTCTGCGATAATAACCATAAGAAATGGGACACGAGCCTTCCAGAACTACTATTCGCATATAATACAGCTAAACACGATTCAACGGGTTTCTCCCCAGCCTTCCTGAACTTTGGACACGAACTAGAAATTCCAAGTAAAGTCGTAAAAACCCCAAACGACACACAACATACCGATCAAAACATAAAATGGCATAAACTACGAGAAACATTCGAACTAGTACGTACAAACCTGGCAAAAGCTTTCACAACTCAAAGCCATTACTACAACTTACGACGAAGAGAGTGGAAACCCACAATAAACGACAAAGTCATGAAAAGGGAATACCAACTCTCAAATGCCGCCAAAAATTTTAACGCCAAATTAGCACCGAAATTTTCAGGCCCATATACTATAACAAAAGTGTGTTCTAATGTAATATTCAAATTAAAACACGACGATAAAAACCGTACAATAACAGCTCATATCAAAGACCTAAAACCCGCATTTACCGATTTCCCTACTCCTTAATCAGTCCAAGCACTTACAGTCAACACCAAGTAGTGACAGTAAATTTTACATCAAGTTTACCAGTGACCTTCAAATATAATGTCAGACACGTTAGAAATATATTACAGTGACATAGAAATGGACGGCACAGTTACGCCGCCACCATACACCGTTCCAGAGTTAATATCACCATTGAGAAACACACCAAAACCTAACACCCCGGGCAAAGGCTGCGAGCCCCTGATAAAGGCTATTTCCAAATTTAAAAACCTTTTCGATGAACCAGCCATGGGCATCACAAAAATTCAGAAAGTCCAGTCAATTCCAGTGTCAATCCCGCTGCTCTCACTAATTCCGCCGCAGCATAAAGGAAAAAAATACAGACTGAGACTCCCGAACCAGGTGCTGAGGATAAAAACCAATAATTGAAGCCCCACGAAGGAAGACGTTTTTTAAGAGAGGGGAAGACGATTTTTTTTAAGAAGACGATATTTATTTTTTTTAGGGCGGACATTTTTTATTTCGATGTATTGTAAATTGTTTTTTAGGGTAACCAAGTACCTGGCAAGTAATAAAAATAAAAAAATTTTGTTCCAAAATTTTTTTTTCCCAGGAAGAGGGGGTGTAACGATGAGTCCAAGCCATCACCGTTAAACCAGCGTGCGCGCGAACCAACCCATGAAGTAGGAGTGTATCGACAGTAGAAGGGGCAAAACTTTGCTATATAAACCGCATTATTTCCTCATAGAGGCAGAATCGTCAGGTGTTGACTGAAGGTTCTCTTCTTCCCTACCCCGGCTTGTGGACGTGTTGAGTTCACAAGTTGTTCCATACCGCCGTTATCCGGAGAGCGTGTTGAGCTCTCCATTACCCGTACTCCGAAGCAGTCGTGTTGAGACTGTCGAGGAGTGTCCTATTAACCCGAATCACTTAAGGGACGTGTTGAGTTCCTTTCTTTTCTTTGTACCTATCGTCCGCTGTTATTAAATCGACACATCGTTCACGTAAAATTCCGAAAACACACTCGATTGCCGATAAAACTTCATACGACAAGGTCAAACTTAATTTGAATAAATAGGCCAGGTACTGAGAAGACTAAACTAAATTGTAAATATGTACATAAGATTTTTGTCAATTTAATTTAAGGAAGACAATAAAGTTTTATTTTTATTTTGAACTCTGTCTCTGACTGTCCAAAAGCTACCCGGATAGTGACTCCTACGAGAGGACGTCACAACCAATAAAATAAACATCTTACATTTCTTGCAAATTCATTAGTACCTACCTGTTAACCTCCATCACTCCGACACTGGCAACCTTATTTAGGGATTAGTAACCCTCACAACTATTGTATTCTATTCTGCTCCAACCTTTATACCTGGTGGTCATACTCAATTTAAAATTGTTTTCCTATATACTTCTGTAAACTTGTTGACAAATATCTGTTTTTCATTGAGTCACCCGTATTAACAGTTTAGGGATTTGCATACATAATTTATTGTTTTATTACTCTCTCTTACATAAAAATACACTATAGAAAGTATTTAAATTTTAACATTGTGACATACCACCTTAATATATTTCGTCCTCACTGATTTGTGTAGAAAGATTTAAAACCATTTGGTAGTAGTTTTTTCTCGTGCACAATATGTTCGATTGTTGTCGTGGTACCAATGTTTTTCAAAAAACAGCATCCGTTGAAAGTAGTGTATTTTAGTCCGTCATATACCTTCCAGATTTGTTTTTCCTCTTGTGAGACAGGTCTATGACGTTTATGTCGTATACTCGTACCATTTGTTATATCGATTTTTATTCAATGAAATACTGGTGGAATATACTACAAATCGTCTAACTTTAACCTAATATTTTGCCTTTCTTCACAATAAAAAAAAAATTAACAAAATTAGCACGAAAACTATCAAGACAAAACAATCGAACACAAATTTAACATTTTTGCTGATTGGCAATTTATTGGCTATGTAATTCCCACACAAGATATTAAAAATAAAGGATCATTTAATTTTCAACCATCAACAAAAATGTTATGATGACAATAATGAATTCGATGGTAATACGATCTTCACATGTCGTCGCCGTAGCACATATTTCCTTCTCGAGAACAGTTTTTAGATGACATGAACCATTTTTCAATGATATTTATGGATTTAATAAATTAATTCAGGTAAAAGCTTCAATCGTAGTATTTAAAAAAATAATGAAATAATGATGTTGCTGAAATTGTGTAATTTTCCAACAGTACACAGTTTTAAATTTAGATCTTACCAATGAATCACCCTCTTCAATAAATTGTTGGATTATACTTATGATCATCTCCTGAGTTTTTATCTTAGTTTGGTTTTTTACTTTGTTACATTTTGTTTATGTTCTGCCGTTTCTGCATGCAAGGTTTTATAGTTTGATTTTTATTTTAGGTTTACATCAGAACGAGATTAAAACAAAATCCGAAAAGCCTTACAAGTGCCAAATTTGTTTTAAACAATTTAGTGGAACAGGCTCTTTAAACTATCACTTAAGAATACACAATGGAGAAAAGCCTTACAAGTGCGAAATTTGTTCTAAACAATTTATTCAAGGTGGGAATTTGAAAAGTCATTTAAGAATTCACACTGGAGAAAAGCCTTACAAGTGCCAAATTTGTTTTAAACAATTTCGTGTAGCAGGCAGTTTAAACAGGCACTTAAGAATACACAATGGAGAGAAGCCTTACAAGTGCGAAATTTGTTTTAAGCAATTTACTCAAGATGGTGATTTGAAAAAACATTTAAGAATGCACACTGGTGAAAAGCCGTACAAGTGTGAAATTTGTTTTAAGCAATTTTCTGAAATAAGCAATTTGAAAAAACACTTAAGAATACACACTGGAGAAAAGCCTTACAAGTGCGAAATTTGTTTGAAACAATTTAGTGAACCAGGCTGTTTAAAAAAACACTTAAGAAAGCACAATGGAGAAAAGCTTTACAAGTGCGAAATTTGTTCTAAACAATTTATTCAAGATGGGCATTTGAAAAGGCATTTAAGAATGCACACTGGAGAAAAGCGTTACAAGTGCGAAATTTGTTTTAAACAAATTAATCAAAAGGGAATATTGACAAGTCATTTGAGAATGCACACTGGAGACAAGGTATATGTGTGAAATTTATGTTAAGCAGTTTACTCATGAGAGTGCTTTTAAACATCACGATAGGTCACATACTGGAGAAAAGTCTCAAGAGTGATTTTTCAGCAATTTCAAGCAATTCAGTGAAGCAGGAAAAATTTAGGAATAAATATTTTATAAAATTTACATATTTGAAATTTGTTTAAGCAGTTGATTCAGAACGCGTACAAGGAGATGGATTAAGTATAAAATAAATTATGAAAACACGACATTTTTTTTTTAATTTCCACAGAATATCCTACTTGGCATATTTTTTTAAAATACCTTCCTCCGAAGTCTTCGACTGTTTGCCTTTGGAAGCAATTTAAGATATTCTCTGACTGATTGCTTTGTCGTTTGCCGTTTTTCTACCTGTATTCTAGTTAGGCTAAATAAGGAAGACTTCCCAATATCTCTTTGTCCATCGAGAATTGAATTTTTAAAACGATTTATTTCTACTAATTCAAGTCTACTTGTCGAGTCAATAACTACTAGCCTAGGTGGCCAGCTAGGTCGCCGTCCCCTTTTCAATTTTGATGCGTCCTCCCAATTTTTTTATGTATTTTTGGAATTTTAAGGGTGGATTTCGATTCAAATGGGATTAATCTTGAACAATATATATATATATATATATATATATATATATATATATATATATATATATATATATATATAGATACAAGAAATACTTTATAAAATTGAAAGCTACACATAAATCTACGATTTTATTATGCTGTCAAACCAGTTATAGTCCAGGAAATGTATCATTTCACCTCGCAATTTTTTCGTGCGGCGTGGATTGACTTGAAATTTAACAGAAGGTAGGTAATAGCCTAAGGATCAAAATCTATATCGAACCAAAGTGCGCCAAAGCCTAGGGGCTGGTTGCCACCCCATCTCCGGGGTGAAAATTTTTTTTACGTTTTAACTACACTGCCCTACTAAGCGAAAAGGGGGTATCTGTAATTTACATTGTTTTGAGTTAAGAAGGTATTAAGATTTCGTTTATTCGCATTGTTGTTTTGTGTATAATATTTAAGTTTAAATCGAAAATATACATAGTTTTCTTTTGTTTTTTTTATAAATATAATAAAATTAGGCCATTTAAATTTTTTACTAAAAAAATTGTAGTTAACCCCATTATTAAGAAACCATTATAGGTTAGATACTAAGACAAAAACACAGTATCTACATGTACACATTTATTTTTACATCATTTGGTTTAATTATCAAATTGTCGGCTTCTAAAAGCTTTGAAATAATATTATTTCGTCTTTCTTCTGTGATGCCTCTTGGGTTTTCTTTGGTTCCTGGAGCTGGTATTATTCCAGTCTTTGTAATTTTTGCATTCAAAAAATTTAATATTAAATCAGGGCCACTAAAATTGTTTTTATAAATTAGTGACATTGATCCCCTGTGGGCTGTCATTTGAACAATATCCTGAACATATGGCCGCTCACTATGTGCTTTTTTAAGTTTATAAGTAGATGAAAAATCCTGCCAGTCATAGAAATCATGTAGTTCCATTTCCAAAACTATAACCCTCCCAGAATTAGCTTGTAGAACAGCTTTTTTAAAATCTGGAAAGTCGTAAACTTTCTTAGTTTTTCGTAGAGATTTTTCTACTTTATGGTGGAATGCGTCGGCACTCATAAATGTGTGACCTGGTTCGAAGTAATTTATTTCTATTACTTCAGCAGAAATATCAGTTGAGTTTATTATATAAACTAAAAACGTAAAAAACGTCCAGTTTTCATTTTGAGAGGTACAATTATCTACCCATAGAACAATTTTTTTCGCATCTCTCTGAAATATTAAGAATTTGTGATAGGTACTTATTATATCTTCTTTTTTTCGCCCTTGAATTGCCTCGTGCCAAATTGCAGCTACAGGTTTAATGTTTCTGTTTTTAGTCCCTACCGGAACGAAACTTTCGTTATAAGCAATCAATCTTTGAGTAAATATAACCGATTTAAACATGTCGCACCGGGGTAACATTATTACTTTTTCCAAATCAACGGAATATATAATTTCTCCTTCCTCTGGTTTCTTATTGGCATACTCTTTGTACAGCAGACGTGCATCTTTACTCCTTTTTATATGATTGGACCACCTCTGACACTCGGAACAATCATTTTGTAAATTTTCTTTAGAGTGTGGATGGATTTTAAAATGCTCACACATTTCGCATTCTTCGTGACCCAACGTTAAAAAAGATATATTTAACTTTTGTACTATTGAGCGGTATAAATCATTAGAACAAGTTGAAAGATTCTATATGTTTTTCTATTACTGTATGCTCCAATTTATTATGAGGTAGACTTCCACGGTTTTTATGTGGCTTTGGTGAGATTAATGAGTTCGAAGATTTACAAAACCTCTGTAGAATTTTATCATTATTTTTGTGAAACCTTATAGTTGTAAGAAAAAAGGTTCTACAGACTGACTTACATTCTCCGTCCGCCGTTTTTAAAGAGTAGCTTAAAGTATTCGATCTTCGAGAATCTAATCCAACAGTTTTACGTCTGTCTGGCTAATGCTGGACAATATAAATTGATGCTGTTGTTGACGGTCTAGATTCCAGAACTGATTGTTTATATCAATTCTTCTTTCCTGATTTGTTTTTGTGTTACATGTTTTCTTACAGTTATTACCACATCCATCCCTAACAGAATGTGAATCCTTTAGTTTATTCTGTTTAATTATTTTTATTTCTCTAATTGAATATTTATATTTTTTACGTCTTCGTTGTTCCCCTTTCTTAGTAAAGCGTGTGTCTATCTCTTTTTCATCTCTTTCTTCAATTTCTCTTCCACCATTTTCTAAACTGGCAGGCTGAAATTCATTTTTACAATTATAGCTGGCTAATTCAGGATTATTGTCCAATACGACCTCCATTGTCATATTTGTTCCCAAATCAGGTAGTTCCAACGTATTTACTTCAGCTTCTATAAAAGTTTCTGAATCTGAAAGCAAATTTGTAATGTTTGTTGTATCAACAGAATTTGCTGGAATTTGAATATCACTATTCTCCAATAAAACAATTGGCGCATTTTCAATAATATTTTCCCATTCCACACCACTACTAATGTATGTTGAGCTGGCCATAGCTGTCACAAAACCTTTTTTCTCTACTTTTACTGGTCTGAAATTTAAAAAAAATGTTTTACACGACTTTTTATCCATAAACGCAAAAATTAAATTTTAATAAAATGCATTCATAAATGACAAATTATTTCGTTGTTAAGTATCTTCAATTTGTAAAAACATTGCAAAGAATCAGTAATTAAATGAAATAAGTAAATTCGCAATGAAATTGGTAGTACTTTTTTGTCGTGTAAAACAAATCCGACTACATCATCTAAAATAAAAAAATGTTTTACATGACTTTCTATCCATAAACACAAAAGTTAGATTGTAATAAAATGCATTAATAAATGACAAATTATTTCGTTATTAGGTATCTTTAATTTGTAAAAACATTGCAAAGAATCAGTAACTAAATAAGTAAATTCGCAATGAAATTCCTTTTTTGTCGTGTAAAACAAATAAGTCTACACATTTTAATTTGAGGTTATGGTAGCAAAATAAACAACTTAACTCTAAATCTGTAGTAAATCATTCACTATTCAATATTTCAATGTTTACAATTGAATATTTAAATACACACTTTAATATTACTAGGTCGTATTACACCAAAAATAAACAAATAAACTAAAAGAAATACTATTTTTGTGTATGATATATCTAGACACGATGAATAAATGTGCTTACTATTATATAAAATTACTAAGCGATTCTGGCATTAAGTGACGTGTACTAAGCAGTTCCAGCCGTAACTGCACAAGTTCGTGTAGATACAACCATTATTGCCTAGTATCAGTTACCGCCAAATTGCTTAGTATATAACCTATGCTTTGTAGATACCTCTAAATATATAGCCTAAAATATAATATTTGTAAAGTAGATACGACCAATTCGCTTTAGTATTAGATAGAATAAGGTGTAATTATTGACTAGACATTAATATCTCATTTTTGGAAAAAAGTGTAGATACCCCCTTTTCGCTTAGTAGGGCAGTACAGGTTTCGATTAGAAAAGTGATTCTAAACAAAAAATGTGCTATACATTTTTTTATAAAATGATATTTTTCAAGTTATTCGCGATTGAAAGTAACTACTTTTAGACGAAAAAATCCACGTTTTTTTTGTTGCATACCAATTGATTTTTAAGGGTTGAAAATGTATGAATTTGTATTTTAAAGTATAAAAAACTCACTATTTAACTAATCCAAACCAAATTTCACTCATCTTAGGATTTGTAATATTATTTTACAATTTTTGAAAATTAGGGGTAGTTTTCACCCCTAAGAACAATCAGGGTTTATCGGCATGACATAAACTATAAAGCAGAGGGTGAGTTGAGCTTAATTCCAAATTTTTATGCAAGTCGTTCCAAGGTGAAATCATTTTCTTCGCATTACTAATTTTTTTATATGAATCTCTAATGAGGGTCGCTTTTTAAGGGTTGAAATATGATGGAACTTTATTGAAAAGCACGAAACTATCATTATTTAATTAATTCAAACCAAATTTTACCCATATTCGGGTTTAATATGTTATTTTATAATTTTTGACAATTAGGGGTAGTTTTCACCACTAAGAACAATCAGGGTTCGTCGACATGACATAAACTATAAAACAGCGGGTGAATTGAGCTTAAATCCAAATTTTTAACCAAATCGATCCAAGGCGAAATCATTTTTTTAGAATTAGTAATTTTTTACATTAATCTCTAACAAGGGTTGCTTTTTAAGGGTTGAAATATGATGGAACTCGATTCAAAAGTATAAAATAATCATTATTTAATTAATTCAAATCAAATCTTACCCACATTCAGGTTTAATATGTTATTTTATAATTTTTGACAATTAGGGGTAGTTTTCACCCCTAAAACCCTTCAACGCACTTCGGTTCGATATAGATTTTGATCCTTGAGCTATTACCTACCTTCTGCTAAAATTTCAACTGGATACATGCAGGACGAAAAAATTGCGAGGTTTTAACTTTTTTCGAGCTTCAATTCCTGAACTATTATCGCCTCCTTAGACAAACCCGTCTTACGCAAACAACTTTGTTGCGAGACAGATAGTTGAACGATATTTTATACAATGTCTATACCCAGGTATGGATTTATTTTTGTCCAAGTTTTATATTGGTCCACTATTTTAAATGCAGTTCAAACAGACATGTATTAAATTGTATGTTCCGTTTTAATTTGGTTCAATCTGTATATATATATATATATATATATATATATATATATATATATATATATATATATATATATATATATATATATATATATAGTAAACTCTTAAATATTGGGGAAATCTGCAAGAAAACTCTAATGTGTATCAATTATTTCGCCTAACGTTTTCGCCAAAGAGAATTAATTTGGCTTCTTCAGGGCTGAAAGAGAATAAATGTTGAGTTATGATGTTAAAAAACTTTAGCTAGTAACAACATAGTGGTGTTTTTTTTTTGTTACTACGTGCAAAAAAGTTTATTTGTTAACGTTGGAAATGTATGGTAGCTTTGAACTTAAAACGCAAAGGTTTACCCAAGGTTAATCGAACAAACCCAATGTAACTACATTTAAAGGAAGTAATTCTTTGAATTGTCGGAAATAACTAAATTTTTGATTATTGTAAAGTTTGTATGTGAGCTTCTGTTTTCATAGAACGCAAGCGTCGAACAATTACAAGTAGGTCCTTTGAATATCTATGTCGTTAAGGTTCATTGGTAAAACCGATGAAGTTAGATCCCAGTCTGGGGAGATATTAGTTTAGAATTTTCTTATAATAATATCTTATTGAGATGTATCTAAGAAAAGCAAGGGAATGTTATCTTTTTTAGTTTGAAAATTATTATTAAAGTAGGTTAGTTGTTAATAGATATATCAGTCAAGTTAGTTATCTGTGATGTTGTATTGTTCTTGGTATCTGATTTAAGTAAGAAGTGGTATATATCGCTTAGATTCTTAATGTCACTCTTAACATTGATGGAAAAATCGTTAAGGAAAATGTAAGACATTTTAATGAACTCTCTTTTAGATTTATTGTTCTCACGGTGGAGAATTGTAGTGTTCGTACAGTCCATGTGATGACCAGTGGAATGGACATGTTTGGCTAATGCATAGCGGTCAGGGTGAAGTCGAGAATCACTTTTGTGTAGTGTAATACGTGATTTCAATAATTGAGATGTTTGGCCGATGTAGGAATTGTTGCAAGAGAGGCATGGAATGTTGTAGACAATATTAGGACTAAGCCTATCTATGGGAGTCTTATCTTTTATCTTCGAATAAAGATTATTAATTTTTAGGGCTGATCTACAAGCCACATTAAGTTTAATGTTATTATTATTATTCCCAAAGCTATTTTCAAAACTTTTTAGAATCCTTGTTAACCCCGGAGTGATATCTCTGAAATAGGGTAATGAAAAATATTTATTGATAGGAGTATCCGAGACTGGGTTCCTACTTAAGAAATCAGGATCAGCATTGTTAGTCACGATGGAAGGTGAAGTATCTTCGTTATGGATAGTGTTAAATAAAATCTTATTTACTAATGGTGTTGGATAAGAGTTTGAAATAAAAAGTTTCAGAAGGATTTTAACAATTTTAAATTAATATTTTACCTTTCTTCACAAAAAAAAATTAACAAAATGAGATCTTTACATAATTATGTCGTCGCCGCAGCACATATATCCTTGTAACAGTTTTTACATGGCATGAACCATCTTTTAATGATATGTGTAGATTTAACAAATTAATTTAGGTTAAAGCTTTGATCGTAGTTTAAGAAAAAAATTAAATAATGATGCTGCTGAAATTGTGTAATTTTCCAACAGTAAACAGTTTTAAATTTAGATCTTACCAATGAATCACCTTCTTCAATAAATTGTTGGAGTATACCTATGATCATCTCCTGAGTTTTTATCTTGGTTTGGTTGTTTACTTTGTTACATTTTGTTTATGATCTGCCGTTCCTTCATGCAAGGTTTTATAGTTAAATTTTTATTTTAGGTTTACGTCAGAACGAGATTAACACGAAATCCGAAAGATCTTTGGTAACACACACAAGAGTAATTTCGTACAAGTGTGAAACATGTTTGAAGGAATTTAATACATTAAAATATTTAAAAAACCATGTGAGGACGCACACTGGAGAAAAGCCTTACAAGTGCGAAATTTGTTTTAAACAATTTATTCAAGATGGGAATTTGAAAAGTCATTTAAGAATCCACACTGGAGAAAAGCCTTACAAGTGCCAAATTTGTTTTAAACAATTTTGTGGAGCAGGCTCTTTAAACAGGCACTTAAGAAAACACAATGGAGAAAAGCATTACAAGTGCGAAATTTGTTCTAAACAATTTATTCGAGATGAGCATTTGAAAAGTCATTTAAGAATCCACACTGGAGAAAAGCCTTACAAGTGCGAAATTTGTTTTAAACAATTTATTCAAGATGGGAATTTGAAAAGTCATTTAAGAATCCACACTGGAGAAAAGCGTTACAAGTGCCAAATTTGTTTTAAACAATTTAGTGTAGCAGGCAGTTTAAACAGGCACTTAAGAATACACAATGGAGAAAAGCCTTACAAGTGCGAAATTTGTTTGAAACAATTTAGTGGAGCAGGCTCTTTAAACAGGCATTTAAGAATACACAATGGAGAAAAGCCTTACAAGTGCGAAATTTGTTTTAAACAATTTATTCAAGGTGGGTATTTGAAAAGTCATTTAAGAATCCACACTGGAGAAAAGCCTTACAAGTGCCAAATTTGTTTTAAACAATTTAGTGTAGCAGGCAGTTTAAACAGGCACTTAAGAATACACAATGGAGAAAAGCCTTACAAGTGCGAAATTTGTTCTAAACAATTTATTCAAGGTGAGCATTTGAAAAGACATTTAGGAATCCACACTGGAGAAAAGCCTTACAAGTGCCAAATTTGTTTTAAACAATTTAGTGTAGCAGGCAGTTTAAACAGGCACTTAAGAATACACAATGGAGAGAAGCCTTACAAGTGCGAAATTTGTTTTAAGCAATTTACTCAAGATGGTGATTTGAAAAAACATTTAAGAATGCACACTGGTGAAAAGCCGTATAAGTGTGAAATTTGTTTTAAGCAATTTTCTGAAATAAGCAATTTGAAAAAACACTTAAGAATACACACTGGAGAAAAGCCTTACAAGTGCGAAATTTGTTTGAAACAATTTAGTGAACCAGGCTGTTTAAAAAAACACTTAAGCATGCACAATGGAGAAAAGCTTTACAAGTGCGAAATTTGTTCTCAACAATTTATTCAAGATGGTCATTTGAAAAGGCATTTAAGAGTGCACACTGGAGAAAAGCCTTACAAGTGCGAAATTTGTTTTTAAACAAATGAATCAAAAGGGAATATTGACAAGTCATTTGAGAATGCACACTGGAGACAAGGTATATGTGTGAAATTTATGTTAAGCAGTTTACTCAAGAGAGTGCTTTTAAACATCACGATAGGTCACATACTGGAGAAAAGCCTCAAGAGTGATTTTTCAGCAATTTCAAGCAATTCAGTGAAGCAGGAAGAATTTAGGAATAAATATTTTATAAAATTTACATATTTGAAATTTGTTTAAGCAGTTGATTCAGAACGCGTACAAGGAGAAGGATTAAGTATAAAATAAAAATTATTAAAAAACGACATTTTTTTTTTAATTTCCACAGAATATCCTACTTGGCATATTTTTTTTTGAAAATACCTTCCTCCGAAGTCTTCGACTGTTTGCCTTTGGAGGCAATTTAAGATATTCTCTGACAGAATATTTATTGCCGTTTTTCTACCTGTATTCTAGTTAGGCTAAATAAGAAAGACTTCCCAATATCCCTTTGTCCATTGAGAATTGAATTTTTAAAACGATTTATTTCTACTAATTCAAGTCTAATTGTCGAGTCAATAACTACTAGCCCAGGTGGCACAGCTAGGTCGCCGTCCTCTTTTCAATTTTGATGAGTCCTCCCATTTTTTTATGTAGACAATTGGTAGACAATTCTTATAACAATTTAAATGGTTTTTTTATTCTACAATCACTCTTCTGAGAAATAATACGATTTGATAGATTTCTTCCGGTCTCACCAACATACACATACTTCACACTGAGTACAACCTTATGCTGTAGCATAAGCATAATATGTTTCGGTAGCCATTTTGGAGCCATTATTAATTTTTTTGGCAACAAAAATCAGAGATCATCCAAAATAAATTCAATAAGGCAAACACTCTTACAAAACGGCTACCACAAAACCCAAATCAATAGTAGTATTCAAAAACGTGTCCCATGCCATCCAAAAAAGAAACCTTGCCGCCTGATCAACCCAAAATCTTCCTACCTTTTGTCAAAGATGTCACTGACAAGATCAGTAAGTAGAACTGTTAATCATCTGAACATCAAAATCATCTTCACTACTCAGTTCAAGTTGACCAATCTCGTTAGATTTGTAAAAGAGCAAATCCCCAATGAAGACCAGGTTGTTGTCCACGTACATAAATAGTACCGACGATTCCATAACCATATTTACGAACATTATCTAGCTGTACAACATTCCAACACTACTTCATCCCTAGCCCATCATATTCAGACAGGCCACCAAATAGATTTCGAACAGCTTAACATACCGTTCACGCACACACTGAGAGTTTAAAAGCAGCTACACATGGTAAAACCGGTCATCTTCTTACAAGTTGTCGAGCAAGTAGGTGGCACATCGACTCCGAAACAACAGCGGCGAAGAGTTCGAGAGCGCTTGCGCTGAAGTTTGCAGATTCACAGCTTGTGCACACACTGAAAATCAACGAGGCCTGGTTGTTGACTAGCAAGAATTTCAGTAGAATATACTGACTCCAGAATATTACTTGGCTAGTTAATACGGCTTTCACGAACAATTGCCACCAGGTTATGATACAACTTTTACACACAACTGATACACTTTTTGAGGTAATTATAGACTATATCCAAAACCTGCATATAGCACTCAAGTGGAACAAGCCAATAATTCGAGTGGTTTATACCGCCCCTTTCTACCCGGTCTGTGACTCGCTCACAGACTGCGGCAATATCGCAAAACCTATGCTCCCTGCTCCAGCAGGATGACTAAATCATCAAAATCCTAGATCTATCATACAACTCGTACAATGCCACCAACGATCTAGTCAACATGCACGCCGAGATGATCGCCCCTCAAACTCGCTTCAACGTGAAGCGAAATGAGATCGGACCAAATGACCCAAGTAAAAAGGTACTCTCAGAAATCGACCCTTTCATCTTCGCACCGCAAGCTTTTTATCTTAAAAAGCCCTCTGTCAAAAAAGCATCAACGTAACTAACCTCATCAACACCCAAACCCCATCTATATCTAACCCTTCTACTTCTAAAATCAACCCATCTACATCTCAAAATCAATCAATTTCTTTTGCCAAAACGACAGCAACCTCGCCATTATCATGTCCAAGGACTAACCTCAACGTCATTATCAATCAATAACCTAAAAACCTTCGAATATCGTATCAAGGATACACCAAAAGTCCTCTCGAGTTCAAAAATCTTGGCATTTATATGACAATCTTGGGAATAATCACGGCATTGACAATTCTTCACATACCAAAAAATTAATTCCATAAAAGTACTCCCCCACGGAGTAGCCCACCTCAGAACTTTGTATTATTACCACATTATCAGAACTAAATTATCCAAACGCTGAAGAAATTCCACTCCCTGTGGATTTTCTCTTTATACTATGCTACAGGCATCCAAGTCTTTCTTTCCTTCGAGAGTATTTCGCTACTATACACAAAGCAATTCTCATGGGCGATCTAAACTGTAGAAACACTTAATTCATTCCAATAATCTGGAAGGCATCCATTTAACGGATATACTTCTAGACCTTTCAATTGTAAAAGTCTCAAACACAGAATACACGTTTTTAAATGCAAATGGGGCATCTATCCCGGATCACATCCTAGTTACTATTTAAAACATCATTCATCCATCATATCTATCCATCGTGATCTAGCCACAGAATAATAAACAATATCTAGCCCATCGAGCAAAAAGATAATCTTGTCTTTTTGCTCGATGATCTAGCCTGAGTTTTTAAATCGACTATTGCTGTGATAATCGAATAAATCCATATGTTCGATCGTATACGATCAGTTATTTCGATTCTTTTATCTGTCAATGTCTACTTTTACTATTCATTCAATGATTCAAATGTTTTTGTTTGTTGTTGTTTGTTTGTGTTTAAATGACTGCGGACACTAAATCCATTCGCCAATGTTACAATTTGAGGTGTAGTGTGTGTGTGTGTGTGTGTGTGTGTGTGTGTGTGTGTGTGTGTGTGTGTGTGTGTGTGTGTAGAATAATTGTCTTGATACTTAGCAAAGTCGACGTCATTGTCTTTGCTAAGAGACGCTAAGGCAGGAATCACACTGCTCGACCAGACCGACCGTCCACGATCGACCAAAATTACAAGTCAATGAAAATGTATGCGTTGACTCAGACTGGTGGACCGTCCATCACTTACAGCGACCGACGCGATCGTCCAGTTTTGAAATTCGGACTTGTTGGAATTTTTGGTCGTTTGGTCGATGAATATGGAACATTTCGCATTCATTTGTGCTGTTTTGAGCTAAGACATTGACCATTGACATTTAAAAATTTGTAATTAACCTATAAAATTGGATTTGTTTTGTTTCTTTGGATTATGTAGTTTGTATATCCAATACAAAAATTAGGGTTCTATTAATTTTTTGGAAATGCTAAGGAATACTCTGGAATACTAAGTTTTTGGAAACAGGACTTGTTCATGCGATAATAATTTTGAAATTTTATAAAATCATTTAATAGAATGGGGTTATAACACAAATAATTCTCCTTGTTGGTGTCTTTTTAAAAAATGTCTTAAAAAAACAAACTGTCCTACGCCTATAAAGATATCAAATAAGTGATAAATAATTTATCAGTAGAATTATTGCTGCTAATTCTATCCATAATTCAATTTTTTACAAAGAACCCAATAAAATGAAATACCAAAAATGTGGTTATGTTGCTACACACTCCTGACGTCTTGATGGTCGGTCGATCGATCGTGGACGAGTAATGTGAGTTTAAAAATAAAAATACAAAAGTTGGTTGTTCGCCGTCGGACGGTCGGTCGTGGTCGATCGAGCAATCTGATTCCTGCCTAATTGTATCCGAACGTCTGCGGTCCCTCCGGTGTGTACCGATCACACAAGGATAGAAATTATTTTCATTTATTAATTTTTTTTTTTTAATAAACGAAAATTTCCACCCAGGTGGGATTCGAACTCACGACCTTTAGATTTAAAGGCAGGCGCTCTTACCACTGAGCCACAGAGGGGGTTTGTTTTTGTTTGGTTTTTCGGTTTTTCTGTAGTCTGGTTTTTGCAATTTTTGTTGTTAGAGTTAGTTGTGTGTTTCTTATTCTGTGGTACCACCAAAATTTCTAGTTAAAATTGAAAGTTAATCGCTCGCTTCAAATGAAGAGACGTGTTCTGTGTTTGAAATTCATTCCACTCTCACCAAAGTTTATTTGTAAATATTTCACCCATGATACTAAGACTTCCAAGATAAACCCACTTCGCAATCGAATTTTGTACGTCGACGCACATGACGTCATTTGGAGATAAAAGTTCCACTTTTATCACCAACCTTTTATCATCACAGTCGGTAAAACATACATGGAAAGAGAGGGTTTATATTTAAATATTTAGAATATTTAGGGATGTTTATAGGAATCTTACAATTTTTAATATTTTCTTCTTCTTAACTTTGGATTTTCCTTTATTATATCTATTCAATTTTCTAATTTTAAAATATAATTTACACCTAAAAAAAAGATGTTTGACATCTGAACTTACGTTTACTAACACAGCTAAATCCATTAGCGATTTTAAATAATTCTTGGTTAATTTTAATGACCCTTTGTTAAAAATATGGTCCAGTTCATTACATTTAATTAAAAAATCTGGATATGGTTTAAGTAAACCTCCTTCGGAAAGATGGTTTACCTTTAAACCGTAGTCAACGTACAAGATAAACGATGAAACAATACTAAATCTGACAAAACTCCAAACAACACAGAACATTTTTGGTGACATTTGTCGCCAAGTGACGTCACACGACTGATCGCGTGCGCGTGGGTTTATCTTTAGTTCATAGTATCATGCATGATACTATTTCGAACGTGCAACTCTCCAATGACGTCACGACTTATGCGCAATATCTTATCTTCTTATCATGGTATCATGTATTTCACCTAAAACCTAACCTAACAGGATTATATTACAAACATATTCTTGAGAACACAATGCTGCCATTAGTGACCCAGATATTCCCCAATAACAACTTCATCGTCCAACATGAATTGCCCTGTGCATACTGTGTATACGGGTAGAATTGTTCGAGAAGTCCAGACCTCAACTCCATCGAAAATGTGTGGACAAAGCAATTAAATGAAAGAAACCCTAGACCATAATTGATTGATTGCATACCATCGAGGTAGTCTAACTCGATGTTGCCTACCCACGTCACAGAATAATAAACAATTT